GTTGCTCTAACTGAAGGCATTACATCTGAGTTTGTAAAACGATGGCGCATCTTGAAGCCACTCAGCAAGGCCCTCCTGGCATTGATGGCTGTTGTCGCTGTAAGGAAGCACCACAACCATTCTGAAATGTTGGCCAAGCGTCACTTCAAATGGAGCCTGCACTTGAGAGCAATGAAGGCAAGAAATATTTTGCAAACCTTCTGGAAGCTCGCCCTTTACAGTATGCAGAGGCTGATATTGAATGAAAACAAAGAAGAAATTAGTGAACCAGTGTTTTTAATTCACTGCGTAATACCTTAATTTTTCTCAATTCAGGCGCCACCTTCTTGCGCAAACACAAACAGCATCTGCTTCGAGAACTGCTCCCTGTATGCCCCTGCGATGCATGGCAGCCATATTATTCGCATATATTGCTACTCACGTGCGATCATGCAATCAAAAAATTTATGCGGCTTACAAAAGCGTGCAACTGCGTTGATGCACAATGCTCTGACAGGCTCTTCTTCGCGCCTGACTCCAGTGGACGGTGATGTCGACGGCCATGCGGAATTATGCGCATTTGGTGCAGAATGTCGCAAAATTTGCGCAAACAGCTGGGCATATTTGCTTTCCTTTGAGACAGCCCTCATCAAAATGCCACTCGTAAACTATGGCTGTGTCAAGTGTGCGTTTAGTTACACGTCATCAGGGGCAAGTACGCCTGTTCGCGCAGACCAGGGTTGCTGTTATTGCGGGGGCGCGTGGCAATATACTGGCATCCGAGGGTCCAAGCAAAAGGATTGGCCAATGCACTTTGCAAGAAATGCATATAGGAGCAGCATTGCCACATTCGAATTTTCACCTGGTGTCGTATATTTATTTTTTGTGCAATACTCTACGTCAAATTGGTTCAAAGTCAGACTTTAAATGCTAAAGACTCTTTAGCATTTCCACACTCTGTATGCCTTCTGATGGCGGCCTGTTTGGGATGTCCGTTCAATCGCTTCAAATAGCTGAGTGCAAGCCTTCCTTCATAAGAAAAGCAAACAAAGCGCAGCTGGTGCAGTCACAAGAACGGCATGCCAGTGCCCTGTGCATTATAAGTTCATTCTGAATTGCAAGGCATATCGCAAATATTCTTGGTGCTGTCCAGTACCAAGATATTCAGGTACTGTACGGCGCATAAAGAAAATAGTCAGAAGGCGGGGTGAAATTAGTAGATGTGGCACCACTTTGGGTAAAGGCGCGTTGCCCCTGCGATGACCTGCAGTCCGCCACCAGAAAGCCTAGACTTGTGGTGGCAGCGATAAGGATGCCTGTTTGTCGATGGCAGGCATGGAAGCGACTGATGGTTTCGTCCCACAACGCTGCGGGTCAAATGCAAGCGGCCAGAATAGCACACGATGCCAGCCTCAAGAGCAGAGCATTAATGGGATGGGCACGGAAAGTAGCAGGGAAGCGCCTAGCTGAAAATCACAAAACAGCGGTGATGTTGTCAAAGGCGTTTCACTGCTTCTGCCACAATCGCCGTTGCGAGATGGACGCCCGCATTCAAGATTACGTGGCCTGCTCCGAAGGAAAGCTGATGAGGAGGAATCTGATTACCCATTCCGTGTTAGGTGTGCTCATTTGCCTTTCCCGTGAAATACCTTCTGCCATGGCTGCACCTAAATTGGCGATAATGTCAAATTTGTTGTGGACGCGGCAGCTTTGAACTATGTCGCAATTTTTGGCTTCTCACAAGGCAAAATTATGGTGTATAAGTATACCACCTCAGGGCGTGTTCCCGTTTGTGCTGAACTGCAGTTGTATTCACCCTTTCAACTGATGGTGTTGCTATGGAGCTGCGCTTGCATTGCTGCAAGCGTCTCAAATTGGGCCAGTGCAAGGCGCCACCTTCGTCTGAAAATGCGCGTTGACACAGCGATATGCGTGGCACAATTTGCACAATACGACAGGGAAGTTCACCTCTTGTGAAATGTTTGCAGAACTTTTCAGTCGACCATCAGCTCATTATCAATGGGTGCAAAGGCTAAACCTAACCCAAACTGACGTTTAACCAAGTATGCGCTTGGTGGAGGGCACGTCCTATTCAAATTCAGGTTCAATCTAGTCCAGCGGTGTGGGGCTCGAGCTAGCCCCAATGAAGGAAAAATTGAGTGCAAACTGAGGCTCGACCTAGGCAAAGTCTAGTGCCATTCATTTTCGGATACGAAGGTTCACAAGGTCGTGAAAAGAACGAGGGCATGCTATTCTAAACCCCAAAATGAAGACAACTAAATTTTCAACCTCAGAAAAACTTACAAATAAAACGCAAACTTGGGAGCTTCTCAACCCTCACATCACCTTAATGACATTCATGTCCAAGTGCAAAGGGTGTCCGACATTAGGCAAGGCTTAGAATCAAATTGGATTAGATTTTCCCTTGGTTTGAACTTAGTCTAGCTTCAATTTGGACTGGATTATTTCACTCCACTGAGCATGGAATGGGTTGAACATTGCTTTGGAATAATTTGAACCTTTTATCCTTACCTTATTCGACTGAACTCTCTTCATGTTGGCTGGGCAGGTGCAGTAAAGGCAAACTATTGCCCAGCAGATTTCCCTAGACAGTCTCCTCGAGGAAATGGCAGAACAGCGTCTGTTGATGGCTCCGAAATTCGTGTCTCTCGGAAGTTCAGTCACATTCCGTCATTTGTAAACCCCAAGCGGCATTTGAGCCTCCAAGAACACAGGCTGATGATACGGGCAATGGGTGCGTGGAAGTTCTGCAAGAGGTGAGAGAAAGGGAGCATAATACAAATTGGCGTGACATCACAAGATTGCATTCTATTAATTCTTTGACGGAATTGTTTCTGGATGCAAATCTGAAGAACATGCTAAACACAATTCCGCTGGGCGTCGGGCAGTTCTGAACGTCCAAATCTCGCTGCAGGCACTGGAGGACGCGAACGGAAGGCAGGGTACTATCCCCATTGGGTCAGTGGAGATTTTCCAACAAAGAGAATGCCGCCATGTACGCATCCTCGCAACCCTGCAAGCCGCCCTTGGGGGGCCATTCGCCGAATGAACAGATCTCAAAGTGGAGCACTGCTCTCAGCCGGTCCTCGGCACTACCTGACAACAGGGACAACAACTGGACACCGTTTCCTCCGACAGTGCAGGCAGTCGAGGGCAGTGCTTCTTTGAATTTGAAGTCACGCAGGGTACCTTGCATACCAGATTGGTACTGGCTGGGGCCTTACGACGTGACACGGGGACCATGGGACCTGTGGAGAGATTCTGGGGTAGATCCACGCACAGTGCAGTGTTTGAATGATCTTAGGCAGGAGCGGCGAATTTAGTTACCAGTAGGATGGAGGCTGGTGGTGGCTTTAGGGTGGGTCTGGGTGGGTGTCGGGGTGACCATTGTAGCATTGGCCTAACTCGACTTGCATTATCTGTGTCCTCATGTATCCATAGGAAACTGCTCCTTTTCCTAACCATTTAATTTCCTAATCATTGACCTACATTGGCGCCATCCTTCTACTCGCTCATGCTGCCACATAATTTCCCACTGTCGTGAGTCCAGCAGGCTCCGGGCGATTCTGTCATAACAGCGCGTCATTTCCTTCACCCTGCTTGGCATCCCACGTCCGCCAATGCAACATCCAATACTACCTAACGCATAATGTGGGATCCCTGCTGTCAGAGTACACACACTTTGGAATCCACACAAACAATTTATTGCACCCTCGGCTGCCGCTTCTGAACTTCGACATGCTTCACATGGGCACAACCTGAGGATCGTGCACGGAGCACATTTCACCAGCCCTAAAACTGCTGGAGGGATGCGAAGCATTCAAAACTTGCGAAGGCAACACATCCATCGACAACAAACAGGCAAATGACTCTCGTTTTGGTCCATCACATTAAGAAAAAGAGACGAATTCTATTTGCTCTAATTGCTCATCTGCCAGGACTCCTCTTGGAGTGCTGAACTTCTCTCTTTTGAGACTGACCATTCTTTGGATTCGAGCACCTTTTGAGGCTCCACATCACCTTGCACTCTCTTATCAGGTGACACAAGAACCGCATATCTTGTGATAGGACGGGGGAAGCATCTGGACAATGAAATATGATGCCATTTTTTGTAAAAAGAGGCAAAGCGGGCAATTGAATGTGCCCAATCAGGAATTTTCAAGTGCAGATATGGCAACGTTGAGAAGCCCATATAGTGCTTTCCGACTTTGAAAACCTGCAATTCGGCATACTTGTGAGCAAGCGCCTTAAGCAGGAGACGCTCATCAGGCACTTGGCATCATTATGCAAAGAAGATCTGGATAATTGGAAACTTGCAGTCCCACAGTGAAATCAACAAACATGTACATTCGCTGTTCTATGTCCAACAATGAAATTGCGTTTGGCATTACAAGGTTACCAAAAGTGTTTTTGAGGGCCTTCATACTTCCTAGAATCCACAACATAACCGGTATCGAAGGGGCTGTCCATCCTAATTGCGATCTGATTTGAAAAGCAGATTTTGCCAAGCTGTGCAGAAATTTTCCAATGTGGTTGAAGGCAATGAGCTGACTACACGCAATTGTTTGTGTGAAACATGTGCACACGCAAACTGACGATAGAAACCCACTGCGCAGCTATAAAACATTCAGGCTAAAGGCAATCATGTCTTCATGCCAAAATCACTCGCCTGGCGCCTGCCGGAACCTCTGGACAGTCGCCCAAGGCGCCCCAGCTTTGGGAATTCCTTAGCGTTTGGTTTCACCCAGCTCTTCAGTTGTCTTACTGTCAACACTAGCCACGGTTTTGATCTTGGACAGGATGTCCTTGCCAGGGCCTTTCTCGGGCCTTGCAACCCATGAAACACGGCACACCCCTGGACAGGGCAACGAATCCCCGGCATAGTCTGCCCCATCCCATCCGCCCATGCCATCCCAAATTCGCCGCTTGGATAGTGTTTAACCGGCGTGTAAACCGAAGGTCGCCCCCGAAGCGGACGGCTTTCACCCTGGGCGCAGGGGATGGAGGCGACAGAGGAGGAGGGGCCCTTGTGGGTCCGCCTGAAGTGCCGCACTTCCACCTACTCGGTGCCTGTGGAGCTGGCAAAGCAGGCCGGGACGCTGCAGGTTGCGCTGGAGTGCGCGTGCGGCAGCGGTGCCGTGACCACCATCCACTGCGACCGCTGTGACTCCGAGGCAGTGCATCTTGTGATGGTGTCCTGCGAATGCAACCCGGAAGGGCTGGATGGAGTAACGGGCTTGGAGAAGGACGTGCTGTCCAGGGCCGCATGCCGCCTGGACGAGAAGTTCTTCCTGGACGTCCTGGCAGCCGCGGAATTTTTGGACGTGAAATGGATACTTGACATGGATTGGCTGCACGTGGCTGTGAAGCGGCGATTTGCTACCGCGGTGGACTATTTGTTGGAGTTCATGGACCAGTTGAGCAGTGCCGACGCCTTGGGGCGGACACCACTGCACTGGGCGTGCCTGCATGGGGACGAGTCTCTGGTTAAGCGCCTTGTGGACAAGGGTGCCATTGTGAACGCCACAGACGCCGTGGGGAAGACTGCCTTCCAAATTGTCAACAGGGAGTTGGCGAAATGCGTCCAGCGCAGCCCCACATGGTTCCAATACCACACGGTAGGAAAGGCCCTTCTGGCAGCTGGAGCCCACAGGCGGGGTTTGCGCCCAGTGGTGTTTGGCACACGGGGGGCTCGCGGTCAAATGCCTCGTGGGCTTGGCGGTCGGTCGGGGCCGCACCGCTCACCACATCAGCAAAGCCATCAAGTTCCGTGGCCTCCTTGGAGGCCAATGGAAGACGAGGGTGAAGGGGAGGATACAGTGAGCGATAACTGGTTCTTCATGGAGGAAGCACCGACGGCGCTCGTCCCATCTCACGACTATGTTGGAGCCCTGGTGTCCAAAAATCCCAAATTTGCCAGGACACCCCCGGCGCTGTTGCAACCCCTGCTGCGGGCGTACTCCAGAATATGGCGACTGAAAAACGCTGCGGAGTTGGAGATATACTTGTTGGGGAGGCAGGTCGAGGATGGTAAAGCAGAGGTTGAAGCAGAGCTGCAACAAATCTTGGCTGGAGGCGCGCTGGACCCGGCGCCCTCATTGGGTAGTGGCCTCCTGGGTCCTTGAGCTGAGGGTGCCAGCGACTGCCTTCAGGAAAGAGAGGAGAGAGCTGGGTTGAGGTGTTGGTGCACTCACAACAGCAAACAGGTGGACATCATGGGCACTCTGCACAGGGTGAGGGACACTCGGCAGCCCTGTACAGATTCGAATACACCATGCCCTACAACTGCCCATGGCTTTAGTGGCTCCCTGCTTTAGTAGGGACATTTGCTGTTCTAATCTAGGTAGGGTGTTGACTGACAATGAACATATCCCAAAATGAAAAAGTTCAGCAATCCTGGGCTGATGTATCAATTGAACTTTGATGGTCAAAGCACAATCATCCATGTCACTCGAAACTCAATGCAGACCAAACTCAAGATAAGATGCAGACAACTGATCCGTGAGATGTGTCTTTCGATCGTGAGCATGCAAAACAAGTGGTCACATGGGAACTGTGTACCACTGGTGAGTTTGGCTCTTACCCTCACCAAAGACTCCTTGGTAACTCTCACCTCAACTGCTTTTCTCCTAGACTTTCAAATTTCAGTTTGACAATGTGTGGCAGGACAGCGATCATCGACAATGCAGCCCATTGCTTGCAAAGCAACAAGGACCATTCTTCCTCCATCTGACGAGACTGCAGCATGATCCCCACCAGTATCTACAAGGGCTTTAGTGTACTCGATGTTGTCATTGAGGCACAGTGGCCAGCTTGCCTGAGCCTTGTCTGGCAGGATAGACACCATGATGCTGATTGCCAATCAGCCAGTCCTATGAGTTCTGACACGCCAAGCAGACTTCCTGCAAGGAGATCACTCATCGTTCCTGTTCCCAAGGACTTGCACCCCAGTTCCCACCTATCCAATGACCCCTTTATTGCTGAAGCAGCCGTCGAAGTCCATAAATCGTGCGCTGGCGCTTGCTGATCTGGCCTCATAGCCCAACTCTTGTTCAAAACGAAGAGAGGACTACATATCTGCCAAACCAGAGCAACGTCCCTGCTGCCTTTTTGTGTCAAGCTGCATAGATGCTCTTGGCATTGTTGAAAACTATCCAACAGCAGCAACACTGTATGCTGAGATGAGCATCGTTGCCAGATTGTCATCGACGTTCCCCTTGTGGTATCGGATCCATTGGAACGTCAATGGGACCTTGGAACACCATTTCCATTCCGAGCAGATACGGCACCAAGTACTAGAGGACGACACAAGCATATATTAGACCTGATGACCTTGCTTGAGGGATCGACCAGTCCTGAATAAACTCTTAGGAACACTCACAAACACTGGCCATGACAATGTACATGTGCTGACAGACTGCTTCTGTTGCTTGACAGAGCATCAGCTCAGCACAGAAGCCTCCACCATCCACCGCTTTGCCAACCAACATATCAAGTACACCCAGGTGAACGTGTGCATCCAGGGCCCAAAACAATATCTGCAGACGTTGCAATTTGTGAGAAATAATTAAAAACCAATATGCTCAGGGTGCAGAGGCACAGGGAAGGTGCCCTGAATATGAAGTGCAGTGGGCACAGAACAGATGAAACAGCATTGCCTCACCTCTGCAATCCTTTGAAGAATAGCAAACTCTGCACCGGTGAGTGGCACTGAGTGTGTCACTTTATCGTTTCCTTCATTCACGGTGAGGCTTATGAACCAGCCATTCTCAACTGGAGAGAGTTTCAACGACTTTGTAACTTGCCCTGCCTGGCTGTGCAGCAAATAATGGAAATCAAAAACATGAACCAGCTTAACAAAATGCAGTGTGCACAGGTTCAGCAGCAGTTTACATACAACAAGGAGCATCTAAGAGGTATGTGTATACATCACACAGCTCTTCCTACACCTCACAGATGGGGTGGTCAATAACACAAATGGTAGAAAGTTCCTGCAGAGTTTGAACATCCCCAAGGCACGCAGCAGCCCATGATCCACATTCCCACTACAGGACACAGATTATTGCAAAGTGTGGGACAAGCACAGAACTCAAACGTTTGGATCAGAAGTAGCTATATAGGACTTGAGGCTGCACATGATTGACTGAAAATAGTGAAGATCCATTCAGCACAGCACACAGGGGAGATGTCCGATGTTGACAACAGGTAAGACAACTGCCCACCACATTGTCGATTGCTCACACACTCAACAGGGGAGCTGGGGCACCCTGTGGCCAATGTACCCCAAGATACGCGAAGACAAAATAAGATCTGTGTGCGTGAGGCACAAAATCAAGTCAATCAGCAGCTGCACATAGGCCAAAGTCCATTCCATGGTCCAACATTGGGCTGACTTGCAACTTTAGGAGCACAGCTTTTGCAGAATTCAGTGGGTACCATACAGATCCCACAATTGCCCAGACAAGTGTAAAGATCGGTAGCCAACTCCAAAGATCGCCCCTGACCTTGTCTGCATTCCTGGATCATGGAAAAATTTTGCTTCTTGGCCAATGATGATATCCCCAAGCTCCGCAACGCTGAGAGCAAAAGTCTGATGCAAGGCCAAATAATCGTGTGGGTAAACAATGAGCATCAAGGGATGAAGAATGGGAGAACAAAACACCAACCTACACTTCTGGCACAACCAAACAGCACACTCAAATGCAAGACCAGCAGAATGTGCCTGCTGGGATGACAGCAGAGCAGTGTGCTTTCCACCAAGAGCCCACGAGGAACAAAGAATGCAGCCTTTGTATCCACCACCAGCAGGTGCCTTGCTATCTTGTTCAACAGTAGTGCAACAAGTCCAGATCACAAAATGCACACGTTGCATGGACAGCCGCTGCACTCAACATCCGCTATTTGGGCTCGTGTGAGCCATCGAGACTCCAGCAAACACAGGGAAATGGCTGCGGCACGCAATAGCCATGAGCAATGCACCGCAGTTTTTGTCGGATACTCCCCAGCCTGACCTTTTTTGTGCTCCAATCGTATGTCCTTGGACCAGTGCACTTGGCAAACTGCAGCAGGAGACTGCCCTCCCTGTCAATAGCCACTCCATTTTGGCCAACTGCCTTCCATGCTGGTCTGACGGGCTCAAAAGAAACTGCTCCTTTGCCTTTGTAAACGACCCATTTCGTGTAGATGCGCGATGGACCCTCTGCAGGCAGGGAGGTGGTGTACGACTGCGACGCGTTTGCATCACCCCAAACCCCCGTCTCACGTGCAAAGGCTGGTGGCGGCGAGAAGCCATTTCGAGTGCGTGCAGCGCTCCCTCGAGCCTACGCACATTTCGTCCACAGACACCAGGTTGTGGCTTTGAAGGGCCCGACTTCATTCATGAAATGTGGAGCTACGTTCCGAATGCACTTTGGCGCTTCAAGCAGAGTTCCTTAGCTCCACCAACAGAGGCCTGCTGAACTGCGGATAGAGCCCACGGCATCAATACCTAGGGAAGTCTGCACGTCAGTCCGCCTAAGATCAGGGTCCCTGCATGCCAGGGGGTTGAGGCCTGTCTCCCTGAGTACAGGGAGTGACCGGCGGTGTGGCCATATCTCACCTGTTTGGCAACACCCGCGCTGAAGACACGGCAAGCCGTCGGGCAAAGCACGCCGGCTCTAAGGCAGCGACCGAGAAGAATTGGCATCATCGTTGCCAGCGTGCTGCAAAGCTGAGCATGTCTTGCGAAAAGGAAATTGGATTTTTGCCTTACCAACCCCCCCCCCCCCCCCCCGTTTTCCCCACACTGCAAGACATTACACTCAGGTGTCCGTCACCTCATTAATACAAGACCCGATTGGCGACCCACTTGAAATGTGCCCTCGCTTCGCACAGTACTCAATATGAAATCCCCAACATCTCTGTCGTATGGAGAGTACCTATTCTCTGCAGGACGCAATCTGCGTGAAAGAAAGGTTATAGGCTGGTTGCCTTTGCCCTGGTCCTGCATAATATTATGATTAATCACAGCTCCAATCGCCACATCACTCCCGTCAGTCACCACCAAGTAAGGAAGACTGGGATCAGGAAGAATCAAAACTAGAGCAGTAGTCAATGCTCTCTTCAAATCTTCAAATGCCTGCTCTTGTCTGGGTCCCCAATGCCAAACAATATTCTTCCTGGTCAAGTCGTGCAATGGGCCAACTATCTCTGCAAATCGGCATATGTAGCATCGATAGAAGCTGACCATACCCAAGAAGTTGCGTACATCTGTAACAGTCTCCAGCTTCTTCCACTGCTAAATAGCACGAATCTTAACTGGCATAGGTGAAACACCATCCCCAGAAATCCAGTGACCAACGAAATCAGTACTGCTCACAGCGATCTGTGTTTTACTCGCTTTGGCAAACAGCTTGTGCTCCTTCAGACGAGCCAAAACCATTCTCAAGTGCTGCTGATGTTCTTCCATAGTCCGCGAGTAAATTAAAAGATCATCAAGGAATACGATCAGAAATTTGTCCATCATATCACAGAAAATGTCATTGACCATCGCCTGAAATTGTGGAGGTGCGTTGGTCACTCCGAATGGACAAACAAGAAATTCGAACTGCCCATATCAACACTTAAAGGCAGTCTTCTCCAAATCCTGTTCCCTGATAGGCATCTGCCAGTATCCACTACGCAGGTCCAGTTTCGAAAATACCTTTGCTCTAGCCAACCTGTCCATGAGCTCCTCTGGAAGCGGCAATGGGTACTTGTTCTTCTTGATGACTTTGTTGAGCCACCTGTAGTCCAGGCACATCCTCAATCCTCCATCTTTCTTGGGGGCAAAGATGATGGGTGCTCCCCAAGGTGACTCTGATGGACGTGCATATCCTTGCTTCAACAAGTAGTCCAGCTGATGCTTCACCTCCTCCAGCTCCAAAGGACTGAGCTTGTAGAGTGGGCAGCTGACTGGCTGAGCTCCGTCTTCTAACTCGATATGAAACTGGTGACCTTTCCGCACTGGCGGAACACCTGCTGGTAGATCCTTCGCAAAGACCTCACTATACTCTTCAAGTGCTGTAATGATCTGCTCCGGTAGTTCAGGACGCTTCAACTTGTTCACATATGATCCCTCCTGATCTTCTGGGATCGTCTCTACAGGGATGCTGTCATCATCGACTGGCTTGATCACCACCATCAGCATGTTCTTCTGGCCACTGAATGGGTTGTCCTCTGATGATGTCTTCTGCTGGTTTGGACAACTGGCCGTTGGTAGTGCCACATAATCCTGTCCCTGTAAGACCTGAATCCTGCCTGACCGAAAATCAATATAGGGGTTCTCCTTAATCAACCAAGGCAAGCCAAGGAGTATGTCATGAGCCAATCCTAGGAAGATATCTGCATCAAAAGTGCTCATGAACTGACCACAGCGAAATTTCACTCCAAACACACGACCCAATGTCTCACGTGTGGTCGTGTCAGCCATTTGCAGTTTCACCGATTTCCTGTCTGGTGAAAGACCAATCCGTCGAGCAACTGCCTCAGAAACGTAGTTCGCAGTGCTCCCACTGTCAACATAAGCCACAACTGCATGCCGGCTTATACTGCCTAAAAGTTCATATCCCATAAACCCAACACTGGCTAGAGGACAGACAAGTGGGGTGCGCAATCCCACCATTTCTTCCTCTACATGACCACCACCAGCTTTGGGTGTATCACAAATTGGTCAGCCTCTCATCACAGAAATTCTGGCTGCCAGTAGGAATAGGTTGCTCAGAACTATCAACCTTAGCTGTGACCCCAGCCACACAGCTATCACTGACTGCGGGGAAAAAGTCAGTGCTCACATCATTCTTCTTGCCGGCATCTACATCATGGTCACCACTAGAAACAACACTCTGACCATCTATTGCAGTTGGGCCAGTGCGCCCAGACAGATGAGACTCCTCTGAGACTACAACAGCAACACGTGGCCCCACCAACACAGAATTCCACCAAGGATGGCTCACCTTCACAAACTTCCGCCCAGAAATCTCCAGCGTCCAGCGACTTGCTCTCCTGGCCGGATCACCCTGCTCTCTCCGGGGTAGTGTGGGCGGTGTATGCTGCCCCGCGGCTAGTTTAACCGCTTGGCTGCCTCCAGCCGCGGGCAAACACTGACGTAGTGCCCCGGACTCTTGCAGAGCCGACACACACCACGCCCGCCATCACCACGGCCGCCATCACTACCTTGCTGTCCACGACCCCTGCCTCTGCCTCTGCCACCCTGTTGAACTGCTGCAACTGAATCTGACTGAGACTGAGACTGCTATTGCTGCTGCTAGGACTGACTGACTGCATGAACCTGCTGCTGTTGCTGCTGCTGGCCACGTCCTCTGCCTCGTCCACGTCCACCAGACTGTCGGCCCTGACCTCTGCCCTGGCTCTGCCCCTGAGACTGCTCCCAGCCCCTACGCTGAAGACTGGAAAGACGCAAAGTTGTTGCGATGGCCTGATCAGGGTCCTCAGGCACCCAAGGCGCCACTGTAGATCTCATGGGCTCTTTGAGGCCTTCGATGAACTGATAGTAATGCTCAGCTCTAGACATGTCTGGTAATCTGAAGCTCCATTTCTGGAACTCCCTGATGTACGCCTCTACAGACTTGTACTGACGCAGAGTATGGAGTCAGCGCCTAGCCTGCTCTCCCAGCATGGCTGACTCAAATGTGCCACGCAGCGCCTCAGTAAACTCTCGCCAACCAGCGAAAGGCGCTCATGTCCCCTGATAGACCTGTAACTCTACCAGGTTCATCCACGGTATGGCAGCTCTAGACAAGTTTGCTGACATCACTGACAGCCAGCGTGACTCGTCCACTGCATTGCCACGCAGCCATCTGCACATAGCCAGCACCCATTCTGTGCAGCTCACATCCTGATGGTGGCCAGAAAATCTCTCTGGCATCGGAATCCTCAATCTCCCGAATCCAGTGTTGACAGGGATAGCGGCAGCTCTGTGTCCAACATCTGGTAACCCACCTCCATGTGATGACTCTCTCTCGCCCATAGAATCATCGTCTCTGTCATCATCGCCATCTCCAGTTGGGCCAGCAGGCGGGCCTCCTGAGGGTGACCTTCTGGGTGGTCTCCTTGGCGGTTCGTGACCACCTGATCCTCCAGCTCCACCACCCAGGGATCCATATGATCCCAGCCCGCTGTAGGGATCCTCTGGCACACCTAACCCCCAGAAAGGAGGTTGGCGAGCCGACTGTGTAGGGAATCCAGCTCCAAATGCTCCAGCTCCACTCACTCGTAACGGTACTCCACTTGGACCAGCTGATTGACCACGGGAAGATTGACCAGGCTGTACTGAAGTGCCTGCTGTCTGACTGATACCAGGAGGCAACAATGGTGCTACAATTCCGCTCGCAATTTCCGAGTTCTCCGGCGGTGCCATAGTGGTTTGCGCTGTAGTACTTGGGACAGTAGTTACCATGGTCCCTAAGTACATACTGCTAGGAATTTGCTTGTTCCGAAATGCATCCCAGTCCACATTCTGATTCACCTTCCAGTTCACAGGATTCTCACTCCACGACACAGCACCGACGGGCAGCGAAGGAACTCCAAAACTCACACCTCGTGCCGTCTCGCAGCTCCCCGTTACGCCAGGGGTGCGTAACCCCTCATAAAGTGTAACCTTTTTGTGAACAGGCCCCACGGGGGCGGCATCTCCCTCCGCGGCACCTGCATCCTCCGCGCCCGAGGCCACCGGCAACGGCAACTGACTCCGAACGGTCGAGGGCGGCATAGCCGGCCAAACGACGAGGCTGGACGTTGCCTCGGACATCCTGCGGTCCAGCGCCTCGATGGTGCGCTTGATGCCGCCAAGCTCGCCGGCCATGGAGGCCGTTTCTCGAGCATGGTTCGCAGCCATGCTTTCCACTCATTCGAAAACCGATTCCTGCGCGTTTTGCTGTGCTTGAACGGCGGCGCCGAGGTCGCCCAACACTCGCGCCGCTTGGCGCAAGCTTTCATTGGCAATCGAAGCCTCCTCGGAGGCTTTTCCCGTAGTATTGGCCAGCGCCTCCAACTGCGCATCTTGGCCTCCTTTCTCTGATTCCAACGCCACCAGCCGTTCGTGTACCTCTGAAACATCTTCCTGAGTCCTTGCGAACCGTCTGCCGTCGATCGCGCCCGCCAGCTGCACCTCATCCGCCAACTTCTGGTTGGTTGCCGTAAAATGCTTCTCCGTTTCCACGAGTCTCTTCCCCATCTGCTCTATTCTACGGTCCATCTCCGTGCTGATCCACTCTTCCGCTCGAAGCCAATCTCCTCAAACAGCAGCTTGCAATCTCCCGAGCTCATTCGCTTGCATTTTAGC